CCCCAATATGTAAAACAGACCTCCATGGTACTGGAGTTTCATACCTAGGTGGGTTTGTACAGACGTTCTGTGACAGTAGATGACAGCTACTGTGTCTTCTTCATGCTGCATGAAAAAAATATGGTATCTTTAAATATGAAAGTTAATCAGGTCTTGTTTTACTCCAAGTGGCTGTTCATGCAAGCTAATTAAAATAATTCAGATAACTGAAAAAGGTTTTAATTGACTTAGGATTGCAGTACAGAAAAAATTTCTTTGTGGAAAGACTTTCTGGGGTTAAGCCAGCATCTAGCATGCAGGAGAGTTGAATTCAGCTGTTACTGTGTTATGGAGTCACTCCATAACTTTGAGAAATGCCTTCACCTTTCTGCAAAATGTCAGTTTTAATGGTCCGTTCTCACACTTTTTTTGTGCATTAAAGCAAAATAGGTTCTTGCACTCAGAGGGTTCCTGTAGGTTTAGGAATCCATCCTTGAGGCTGAGATTCTGGGCTTTGTAAGATGACCTTTGGGGCTTGTTCCCAAGGACCTGGTCCTACCTGAGTTCTTCCTCCCACCTCTCCATGCCTGCCGCTTCTTTGTGCCAGCACTGGTGTCCATGCAGCCACATGTTCATGTGATGAGGAGAATGACTCAAACACAAATGTAGGTAGGCGGGTAGGTAGGTAGATGGATTTACAGATCATTTTCTAGGCACATCATTTCCTTAACTAAGCTCACTGGAAAGCATTATAGTAATAGAGGGAAGGGGAGGCAGAGCTTGGCTGGGGTTGGACCCATTTGGAGAGCAGGTGGAATCACACCTTTGGCAGTATCTGCCATGGAGATTGACTTGAAGCAATTACAGGACTGCAAAACTGAGTTATGACTTGCTAGGGAGATACCTGGGCTTGTAGGGAGTTCGGGGTAGAGGCCATCTCTCCCCTGGTGAATGACCTTATTCTCACACATCAGGGCTTCCTTTCAGCACTTGATCATCTGCAGTCAGGGTTATTTGGTTTGGTTTTTCCTTCCACAAGATAATTTCCTGCATGATGTTTTCTTTCATGAGCTGCTTAAGTGTGTTTGTCACTTAACTTCCTCTGCCTTGGACAGAGGATTCTAGGTAACATGTTGATTTTAAAGTTCACACACCTACATTTATGTTCCCCCTAACATGAACTTTATGCTGCTTTATCTAATTTTCGTATTTATGTAGTACACAAGTCTCAACTTCCTTTGGTGTAAAGCAGGAAACCAGAAAGGGGAGGATGAAGCTCCGCATTTTCTGACACACGCACATGCGAAAAAAAGAGAGTCTGTGTGTTTGAAGTGCCTCCTTTCTCCAAAATATTTGCATGCCTTCAAAAGTGGTTGCTGAGTGTATCTGTAGCCTTCATGGCAGGTGCAGTCAGGTGATGGTAAAGCATGGCTTCATTAAGAAGAACTGGCAATTCAGAATAAGTCCAGGGAATTATGTCCCAAAAAAGATAAAGTCTGTTGCAAAGTAACTTGCTGCTGTTAGACCAAGTCTGTGTCCTGCTCAGGTCAGTGATTTAGCTGTAGCAGATGTAATCTCTCTCACAGATATAACCAGTTTCCATGTATAAAGAAGAAGTAATTTCATGTTTCATGTGCCATTACCAATGACGTGTTGCTCTGAAATTGTGTCAGAATTAAGATGTTACCCAAAGTATTGTCTGAACTTGAGTTCTTTGAGAATCTTTCCCGGGATTCGTCTTTTTCTTAACCTTTTGCAGTATAAGTGAATGGTTTTGTAATAGCTTTCTCTTATATCTGATTTTCAGGAGGCACGATCAATCAAGAAGTTACCTACCTTGATTCACTCTGGATTAGTGGCTGTTTATGGCACAGTTGTTTTGAATCAGATAGTTCTCTTCTTGGGAACAGATGATGGACAGTTACTGAAGGTAAGCTGAGTGTGGCGGTTCTTCCGTTCTCTATCAGCTGCTGCTGTGTTCAAGTGGGTAAATGTTTCCTGGTTTAGGCACTGTGTTATAAACAGACATAATCCCCTGAATCTCTGTTTGTTTTTTGTTTGTTTGTGAAGTAACTGCTGTATTGTTACTTGGAGAGCAAGATAACTTTCAAAAGCAGTTAGGTACCCTGCTTAAAATTCGTGGAAGCATTTCATGAAATTGCTGATGCCTACAGTATCAATTTATGGGCTGTGGAGTTCTCAGTTACTCTATCTTTTGTTTTCTTCCTTGCTTTGATTTTCTAGTAGAAATGTTAAATATTGTTAGATTTTGGAAGCATATTTATTTGTTTGTAAGCCTATCTGTGTGATGTGAATAGCTGTCTGTTAGAGAGAAAAGTCAAGATTCATTTTGCCTTGGCTTCTGAACATTTGACCTATGCTAGCTTAAATCAATCACCTGGAAGTGAAAGTAATCTTATCTCATTATCAAACTTTTCAACCATCCAGTCAAATGTCTTTTATGCTTTAATTTTTTTCTGGGTTTTGCAAGAATGTGCATTTCCTGTCTACACTGCAAAGGATTACTCTCATTTTTTGTTTTTATTAAGCAGGTAGTTGGAGAGGAATATAGTAGAGAGCTTGCAAAGCTTTTCCCATTTTATTTCACTGTGCTTTTGATAATGAAAAATTAAGTTGAAGTCTTCCATGTCTCCTTAGCACAGTGGAGACCATGAACATATCGCACTTGTTTGGTCATGTTTATGGAAAACCTTATATCAATGTTGTTGTGCTTATTAACTTGCAAAATAAAGTTTCTGTGGTCTCTGGTTCTCTTGAATTCTATGCGAAGGGTGGTGGAAAACTGTAGAGTTGGGCGAGGTAAGAAAAAGAAATACCACCTCAAATATATACTCACAGAAACTTCTGTCCTGAAGACAGTTGTCAGTAACTTGCATACATTCCTTTTTACATTATGGGTGACTGGATGTTGGGTTTTTTCCTGAAGGCTAATACTTTCTTCTCCATTCATAAGACTACTTAACACATTATGACTTTGGGTTGTAGGTGTCTCTTCCATGTTCAGTTTCTGCATCAATCAGGAGTATACTTGGTGGGCAGGATGTTGCATACACTAAACCAGTGCCAGATTCAGTGTAAAATGTGTCTGGTGTGGATTCTGTTGAAATTCCATTCTAGTGGTCTTTTCCTTCATCTTTCTGCCCTGTGAGAGCCAGTGCAGTAGGTGAATTGAATCAGGGCACAGAAGATCGTCTCAGAAGCTCTGATGTAGCTGAAATTAGGCTTTTGTTTAAAATTCTGACTGATCAATGAAAGGACTTGTAAATAATTTAATTTCATGTGTTTTAGGCTATTCTTAGTGATGATATGGAATCTAATTGCCCAGAGGTTTTATACGAAATTAAGGAAGAAACCTCCATTTTCCCCAAGCTTCGACTTGATCCAATAGATAATAACTACATCTATCTGTCCTCTGCCAATAAGGTAAGCACAATATTAAATAAAAGAATAAATTCAAGTAAACTACTGTTTTAAGGATTTCTGCCACTTTATAAGTGAAGCCTCAGTTTCGGTCAGAGTTAGACGCTGAATATCCAAAGTGGTTGCAGTTACCAACTTTACCTCTAATACCTGGTTGTGTTGTCTAAGTGTGGGCTGGACTTCAGAGCTCAGAAGAGCTTCCACTGTCATGGTGCTGCCCGCTGTTGCTATGATCCAGCAACACCCTTAATCCCATGCTTATTTTATGTCATTCTGTCAAGAGAGTCTTCATTTCTTTTTTTCCTGGAGGCATCATGCAGAATCAAGCTTGGAGGTAGCAAACAAAACCTGTAGACTCTTTGGAGATGGAGTTTCTCTGAATTAGCAATCCAGGCATTGGTAGGCCAGTGTTTGCTAGTCAATTATGGAGTTTCTAATGTGGAGAAATGTCTTAATTTGAGAGATGGAGTTTGAAGTCTTAATTCTGCTGAAATCAAGGATAAAATTTTCATCATCTTAACTTAGGTGTAGACTTAAACCAAACCAAACCAAACCAAAAACACAGTCAGAAGTGATTAATGTGTATGCATAGTGAGGCCAAGGAGTTCAGCAATCCCTGGGAGCTCCTGCATGTGAGCAAATGCATCACAGCTGCGGGTCAAGCAGAGTGCGGCTCCCAGGAGCCGGTGCAGTTGTTGCAGCACTTACTGCAGCAGGGATACTGAGCATCTCCTTTGTCTTGCCAGCAGCAGGGAAGATGGCAGTGAAAACATAAGGGCTTGCTGTCCATCTTAGCTGGGCAGGATTTCACCCTGCACTTGATTACCTTCATTTACAATAAAATCGCTTTTCCAGCAGTGAACATAGCATTTTAGCCTGCCATCTGAGAGAGTGGGTAAGGTGGTAGCAGAACTCCTCACTGATATAAACCCTCTGTTGCAAATGCAGAACGAATCAAAATGTCAGTCAAAAGTATATGCAGATATTGAAAGAAAAGACTTGAATTTTCTTTAGCTTTGGTAAAAGAGCAAGTTGTTATAGAGGAAGAGCAGCCTTTAGGAATAAATGCCTCTCTCTGATCATCTCTTGGAGCTTAAATAAGGCTTCTGCTCTGTCTTTTTTAACTTGCTAGTAGTCAATGATTTGGTTGGTATCTGAACTGATTATCTCATACACCTTCAGATAAGCTGTATTTTACAAGATATGGCTGGAAAAAAACAGTAAATATAGTTTTGCGGGAAGCCCTGTATCCTTGTTTCTCTTCACAAAATATAAGAACTACTAAAAAAATAGTTTTAATTAGGAATATTATAATATTATACTGATATTATTAATTAACATTGTTATGAATAACATTATTTGTATTTGTATTCAGTATGTGTAATCAGCTTTCTCTTTTTCTTTTTCCTTTCCTTTTCTGAAAATGGCTGGCTAGGATATTCAAGCTGAATGTACAAGTATAGCTACATACAATATAGCCACAATTATCTACATTTACTTATTGAAATGGCATTTTCATGCATGCTAAGTAGTTGCATGTGTTTGTTCTAGTGTGCACATGCAGTAACCTGACATGGTGATGCAAACACAGATGCATTTTGTTTTGCGCATGCATTTTTGAATGCACCTTCATCAATCATTTAAAAATCTCAGTTCTGATGAGAGGAAAACAGCGTTCTGCTATGCAGAGCGTTATTTGTAAAATATACCTCCTTTCCGTTGTTATCTGTAATTCACTATGCTAATCAGTCTTTCTTGCATTAATCTGTCCATGCTGGCCTTTGAGTAGTAGAACCAAATTGTCATTGTCAGAGGCGTTTCATCATCTGATGGCAAAATACAGCGTGTGTAAAATAGGCTGCATATTTCTATCCAAAGGTCTTCTGGCAGAGGGGAGTCTGTAAGGAAACTTTACCGGAGGGATCGTGCTTGGTTGCTGTCAGATTTGTAATGGTAACCCTCAGTTTCCCTATTCATTGGATCCTGTTTCAATTCAGCATATTATTGCATTCTTTGGTTTTAGGTGAGAAGAATACCAGTTGCAAATTGCAGTAGATACGTTTCCGAGCAAGAATGCTTATCTGCAAAGGATCCCTACTGTGGGTGGTGTTCTTTGAATCGAAGGTATTTTTTTGTATTTTACACTGTCATATAAAAGCAATGCTTTATTAGTCAGTGTACATTTTGATTGGCTTGGGGCTATTCAGCATCAAGATTGTATCTACTGAATTTTTATGGAATCAGTCATAGCCATAAATGTGAGTCATGTGAATGGGTGGTCTCCACCTTTTAAAGACCGTGTTAACCCTCAGATCTTTGAGATCTACCCATACAATGCATGTTGGGCTAAGAAGAATAAATTATTTTGGTTTTAGAAAAGATGTTTTTGCATTCCAGACTGATTGAGAGATAAAACTGTATACTCGTGCTTGAAGCATCTTAATAGCTGGGAGCATCTTGCATGTGAGAATGGGGAAAAAGTGCTCATTTGTCTTCAGTATTCATAATTCCTTGCTTTGGAACCACGGCCCTTGGTTTAGGCCAGAGGATAATTTCTAAACACTTCATCTTCACATTTGAGTCATTAGTTTTACTGCTTTCTGTGAAGCAGGTTTGAAAGCTATTTGAACATCTTTGGTCTGGACTGGAGAAATTCCTGGTTCATCAGGCCTAGTCTTGGCAATTGGAAGCAACCACATCATGTAAATGTACTCATAAACTAATCAAGGACCATCCTAAATTTAGACAGGCTTTTTGTCCTCCCTGCACTGCTTGTGTGGCTATCTGAGAGTCTAATTTTTCTGCTGGTTAAAATCTGTCTGCTCATTTTCATTCTGCTCATGTGTGTCGTGGATAGGTTATACTCATTTATTCTGATGCTCAGATCGCCTTGGCTTAAATAGGTTTTCCCCTCTCCCTCACACTTATTTCCTCAATGTTTTTGTGAAAGCAGTCTCTTTTTTTTGCTTTCATTTTGGTGTGTTAAAACAGCTAACTTCACTAAGATCCTCTCACATAACTCCACTGCAGTAGCCCTTCAGCAAAGTTTATGCATTCTTTTAAAATAAGGATGGCCAGTACTGTCACAGTATTCCAGAAGATATTTCAGCTGTGCGTTGCTCAATGGTGTTCAATCAGTCTGTCCAGGAAGCACCTTACTTAGTGTGTCCTGGGATCACAAACGTCTTTTTCATGACAGCATCACATTGATGGGCCACAATCATCCGTGATCAAATAGTGCCCCCAGGTCCTTCTCTTTCTTTGTTTTCTTTCCAACTGATTAGTTTCCAGTCTGTAACACATATGGATTGTGAGATTTTTATTGCTCTAGGTACATATTCTTGTACTTTATGCTTTGAAATGTCATCCCATTTCAAGGTTATCCAAGTTTTTCCTGTGTGATATTCTCATGTTCCTCTGTATGGTAATGTTCCCAACTTTGTATCATCAGCAGATGTCGACAGTGTAAACCCTCTTTTATGCCAGTTCATCAGTGATTAAAACATTAAACAAAAGTAGTTATAAGATTGATTTTTGAGGAATTCCACTAGTAGCTTTCTTTTAGAAGGCTATAGTACTACACATTTTGGTTTGTTTCAATGTGAACATGATTTTGCTGAAGACTTGCTACTTTGTGTTTGCAAAGGTAGTTACTAGAAGAGTGTAGGTGTTTATTCTGTAATGTGTTTTCTTCAAACTCTCTTCTGCTACCTTGTTAGAAACTGTATATGTTACAGTGCTAACCTTTTCAGGCTTTTAGTTACCTTATAAAGAGTTTGCGAATAACAGTTATTAGTCAGTAAATCCCCTGTTTATGAGGGGAATCACCAAAAGTTTCCATCAGGTTGAAACAGAAATAATTTATTCTTTTGGAGAAAAAATGAATTACTATAATATGAGTCCCATTCAACACCCACTTAAGTTTTCACTGTTAAGCACTTAGCATCATCAAATATTTGGTTTTGTGAAGAGAGAGCTCTGAGTGAAGCTTTAGAAAAAGAGGACGTTTTTTAGCCAGTATTTTAATCAAGGTCCATACATGTCCACTAAAGCAATATATTCCATAATAATTTTGGGATCAATGATGTGTTTTATACTCTTACTGGGAAATATATTAATTATGCATCAATTTTTTTTTTTAAATAGAACTTACCTGCAGTGCTTCATTTTAAAGACAGTGTGAACTCGAATCCAGTGTTTTGATGAAAAAAATCTGCACATCTTATTGCAAATGAAAACAAAATGAAATTAAATGTTTCCATGGTTCCTATTGCTCCTTCTTCTTCCACAGGGACAAATATATAAATTCTTTTCACTTACAATCATTCAAAATAATTAGTCATAGCATACTGTGATTTCTCTTAATGGTTGTAGATTTTTTATAGATTAATCAGATTTAGGTGAAGTATGCTGAAATTATTGCAATACAAGGCACCGATGTTTTACATGTGTTTTCCATATGCAAATAACACAATATGTCTTAGTTCTCTGACATGACCAGCCTTAATTTTTAATTTGGTCAGTATGTGTGACATCTGTGGACTTCATTCAGGGGCTGATATCTTCAAAAAGGAAGCCAAAACTTTCTCTGAAACTATGTTCTCATTCCATGAGGGAATCAGTATGCTTTAGCAAGGCAGTGAGGGCAAACTCAGTAGGATCTGTAGTTAGTACAAGATCAGTGAAGCAGAGGCTTAAGTAAATACAAAGGAACCAGTATGCATAGGTATTGTGTTATCATAATGAAATAAGGGAACTCAATTCCAATTGTGAAGAGGAATCTTTAGTAGTATAAAGAACTAGCTTGCTGTGAAAGATCAAAAAAAATCTTGACTCTGCTTTTGTCTGTACACATATCTATGCATATCTGGAATCGAATCCTACGGTTTCATACCTTATGCCTTCATACTTGTATAGGGTCCAATCCAGTCTGCCTTTCCAAGAACGTCAGACCTAGTGGTTGTCTGAGTCTGTGTGTTAGTTTTCAGAACGATGTGGTTCACAAATAATATTTATCTGTTATATTCATTCCAGTATGCTTGCAAACAATATAAATTTTCTAAAAATAAGGATATAACAAAATAAGTCTAAGAAGGCAAAAAACTTTGTCCCAGGGCAGTTTTAAATATTCAGCTTTATAAACAATTTTGTTTTCTAATATTTTAATATTAATGTCAATGAAATGCAGACACTTATTTAGTGCCAAGTATTGCAAGAGTGTTGCCTTACATCTTCAATAGTACCATACTCAGCCTGTCAGAAACCATAGGACGTCTCTCGTACCTCATTGCTTGTGAGAGTTACCTACCCGTACATATCCGACCATCTGGTTTATGCACATCTGTTGATGACAGATCCCATCCTCTGTGGTTCTAAAACTGTGGTGTTAATGGACCTTCATGATCTTTGTAAGGTGAAGAAAGAGATAAATGAGGCTGAAATTTGTCCTCATTCAGACAGCTTGAAATATGTCAGGCATAGTCCCAATTTCTTATAGGAGAGTTATGATCTGAATGTATTCAGTTGCAAAGCCGCATCAGGTTCTTGTGCAGCAGGAACTCAGTTTCCTGAGTTAGACCACAAAGGAAGTGACCTTGTGCTTAACTGCATTCCAGTTGCCAACGTCTTGATCTACAGAGAAGATGGCTTTATGATTTCTATGGTTTGTGGGGTTGTTTCCAGCATTTTGGAAAGTGGTGGATATTTTTTCTTGAAAGTCATTCTTGTGTTATTGCTTCTGGAGAGAAAACACATTGTTTGTGAAATACATGGTTTGCAAGTTATGTACTCTTTTTAGTTTTTAGCGAAGGAATAGTTCATTAAGGCACATGTCACTGATCACATGATTGAAGCTGTACAGGCTTCTACATTTGCTAGGGAAGTAGTATTATTAAAACAATAGTAAATGTTACATTTATTTATAAATCTTCAATATATGCAGTTAGCATTTACTTGTCTTTAATTGCTAGATATAGGAAATTACTCAGTTGATCTATGGATTGTTCATTAACTGTTCACAGCAGACAGTGCTTTAACGATTCACCTTTCAAACTCAGTGATTGTCCATCTAATTTGTATACCCATGTTATCTTTTTCTTATCGCATATTCTTAGTACATGTAATCTTTGTAGTAGTTGTATATCCCAGTATTTTCTCATTCTTCCTTAATTTCCTGTTGTGTAGTTTCTGTTTCCTACAGTTTGGCATCTAACATTTTTATGTACTTTGTGCCATCCTACTTCTGAAATGGATTTTATTATTGAAGACAGAGAAATTTATTGTGAACTACCTTTTCAAACCTGGTGTTCTTAACCAAGTGCACTGACATAAAAGGGAAAGATTACCATTCACATCAGGGGATGACAAAGGAGATGAGGAAGGAGGATGCATGTCATCAACAGCACACATTCATAGCATAGGTCTACATCTGAGCTTCATCCCCATCTCCTCTTATGGTCTTTGGACAGAAGGAACACCTTCTGTAGTGTCATTTATTTAATTTTTGTGTGAATGTCTAAAATAGGTTAGGTGAATTGCACCCTGAAAGAGCATATTTCTCCCCACTGAGTGTAGAGGGAACTGGGGAGTCAGATCTAGAGCTGTATAATAAGCAATCAAAAGTTGGGGGTGATGAATTCTGTCCCGGGCTACCAAGTCCCTTGTTACCGGCCCAGCGTCTAGTATTTGCTTGAGTCCCATTGACTTAATCAGGACCCTAGAGCATATGTCAGTGCATTTAAGTGTAATTATTTGATAAGCGGAAAATTTTACTGATTGTTTTCCTGAAGCTCTTTGCAGTTGTAACCATATTCCTGTAAAAAATTAATAGTGTTCTTGTAAAAAATCAATAACATTAAATAAGTTGAAGTACAGCGTCTGAAGTCAAAGACACTGTAAGGAGGCTAGTATAATTTTATGTATACTTTTAGGTGCACGTTAAAAGAAAATTGTACACGTTCAAACAGCATAAAGGGTTGGTATAACATTTCACATGCACCTGATAAAGATCTGAAAATCCTGCTAAGTTTCCCTGCCAAAAATCAGGTATGTACACTCAGTGTTATGTGTTTGTTTAATGTGACTTAAAATGTGCGATTTTGTTGCTTGTTGCAGTTCCCCTTCTTTTGTCACCATCTTTCATATATTAGTCCCTCTTAATCTCAACAATTGGCAAATGTATTGGAAATCCCAGTATGGAGAATGTGTCAATGAGACAGGTGTCTCTTCCTCTCCTATAAAATGTATCCTGAAGCTGTACTTCATGACGTAGAGTCAAAAACTCACTATGCTGACAAAGGCAACGTTTCCATTATATCACTTTATCAGCTATTTTAATATTTCCAGTGACTATATATCAAGTGCATTATGTAACTTCTGAGCTTTGTAACGAGTTACAAAACATTAATTGAGACACATATGCTAACACAAATGTGTCTTTAAGTGTTTGATATTAGTATTTACTCGGTATCTCTTCACAGCACACACAGCCTTGAGTATTTGATTATCAAGTATTGTGACTGGCCACTTAATCTGCATGCTATTGCTTCTGGTTTCCTGATTGAATGCACTAATGTGATCATATTTGTAAAGCGCTCTCAGCCAGAAACAAAGGCTAATTCATTACAAGACAAATTCTGTTTCATAATTAAGTGCACTTTGGGGTATGGATGCAAAGGTTGTCTCTCTGTGAGGATTTGTACATTCTTGATCAAATATTTTTAAGGGAGTATAACACTGTAATAGCAAAATTCTTGTTTTAAAATCCAAAATTATTCCAGATTTCTCCCCTTGCATACCTTGCAGATCCATTTAATTTCTGGAAGTAAGCAATGCTGTTCCTTTCAGGACTCTCTGTGTTGCTTCTTCAGCTGGGAGAGGCCCGCTCCTTTGAGAGGCTAGTTAGTGAATTGTCACCTTAAAATTTTCATTTTGTACATTTCGTAGTTTGTAGTTTTCTGTAAAGACAAGGTGATGACTTAACAAGTATTAAAAGAAGTTTGTTGTATTCTCATTTTTTATTGTTTTATAGGTTGCTGTGGCTGCAAGCATAAGCAAAATCCTTATTTCCTGTGTGATAAAAATTGTAAAACCTGTTGAAATATTTTATGAAAATGTAGTGCTGAAAAACTCATCCTGTTTCTGCAATATAACCACTCCAGTGATAACTGATAATGGTATGTTTTGCTATTACATGTGTTTAATGCTTATTCGCTGTCTTTTGTTACTGAGAACTGAGCATAAATACAGGCTTAATGAGTGTGAGAGCAGGCAATGCTTTTTATTAAATGTCATTGAAAAAGATATATTCCTGTTTTGTCAAGTGATTTGAGTATACTCACAGTATTCTTGGTAATTAAAGATTTCTTAATGTAGAATCCTTTCTAGAATAATAAAACATGTTAACCTATGGTTACAAGCAGCTGCTTCAGTTCAGCCTATAGCAGTGCAGTCTTTTGGCATTAGGAGTATATTTACATGATGCCATTAATCGCTGTCTAAGGAAATGTAAGATAGCTGCAATGACAAATCAAGCTGGCTGGAGCTATGGAAGCAGTGTTAGTCCAGTGCTCTGCCTTGACAAATTAACCCATCTTAATGCTTCTCTTATCTGCAAACAATTTGTTTTTGCAAGAAATTGTACTAGCATAAATAAGAGGAAATCTGACTATGGATGTCTGCACAATAAATAATCTTAACATTCAGTTAACTGTTTCAACCTAACTTAGACACTCGTGAGAAAGTGATTGCCCCATGTAGAGGATTAGCAGAAAAATACATGGTTCAGGGTCAGTTTGGCTGGTACATCTTTTTGACTTGATTTCATTCATATTTCTGAATTATTAGCTGAGTCATTTTGCAATAATTCTTATACTGCTTTGTTCACCAGTGGTTCTCAGAATTAGAGGCACGAGACATTTGTATTGGACGCATGATGCATGTGATCTTATGGGCAACTGCAGGTTTTAGAATGAGGTTTTAAATTAGATGTCTAGACTCTTAAGCTATTCTCTAGGCTTTGGTCTCAAAGATTACATGATAATCCTTCACAGTAGAGCCTTATTTGACTAATAGGAGGAAAATGTCCCCTTTGCATTGCTTCAAGGGTCTGTATAGAAGCACAAAGCTTTTTTAATACAGGTTGACCTTGTACCTTTTTAAAGTTACTTATGTTGGAATATGTTATGTTAGAGTTTTAATCTAAACTGAGGGACAAAGATAGCAAGCTCAAGGATATCATGTGCTCTTAAGTGACTTGAAGAGGAAACAGAGAATTCAGATAAATGCCTGCCTTTATCTTTTCCTAGATAATATAACCCAAAAGACATGTAATACTCTGCATGAATCTGGTTCTCTTATAATACCTTTGTGTAGAAAGAGGAATGAAATGTTAACCAGAACTTACAATGACCTGTTGTTCTGAAGAGCTCAGTGCTGTAAAGAGCTCTCTCTCTCAGGGACCCTTGCCTGTGAAGGAGATTCCTTGGAATATTGGGATCTCAGGAGCTCATCCTATGGCCTTTGTGTGGGAAAAGCTCCTCTGGCATCATATAAATGGTGTATGTCGAGTTCCTGTCCAGTATTCAGTTGGGAATTGAGAAGAAAATACTTTGTCACTAGCTAGAAGCTGTCCTTAGTAAACACTATTAGTGGATTTTTAAGAAGGATAAATGCATTAGAGAAAAAAATGTCCTTCATTGACCCAGTCCCAAAAGCTATGTTTTCTTATAATTGTGGAGGTCATTGTTTTGGTTCTCTGTCTTCTCAGACTAAGGCTAAGACTCTTACTCCATTAGCAGGCTTTCAGAGTATAGCGTTACGGAAGCTAGCTCGCCTTGCCTGTGCTTTGTGCCAAAGATGAGCCCTTTGACAGTGTTAACCAGAAGTCTGTGAGCTTAGCTGGGGTCTGCCAGTATTGCTGCCATTCACATGCTCCTACAAGCTGAGATGTATTAGTCGATAATGCAAGTGTGGAAGTTACATTGACTGTCTATGGTACCTCATGTAAAGTGACCTTGGTCTCACAAGAAGATGCACTTGCAAAACTCCTTCAAGTATAATTTCTGGAAAAAACATTTTGAAAATACCTGCTACTCAGTGTAGTTTGGTGCATTTTGAAAGCCCCAGACATACAGAAAAGAATAGATTCTGTTAATTTCAACAGAGACAAAATCAGGAAACCATGTTTGACAGTGTTGTTTTAAAAGTATTTATAAAAACTTAGAAGACAAGCTCTGGCAGAAGCAGATAAATTCCTTGCTTTTACTTACTTGGGCTTGAGACCCTTCTCATATGACCTTGAGAAATGATTTAGGCAATTTTGTGCCCAGCATGTCAGATTTCTGCAGAGATGTAGATTTCTGGAGATGCAAATAGGTGCTTGGTGAAGGATTTCAGAATGTCTGTGTGTGCTCATCCACATCTTCAAGCATTGAAATACTTTTAAAAATCAGACTCTTTGCTATCCGTTTAGTACGGTATTGAAGTATGTGACCAGTCCCAAAGGCTGTTTCTAACAAGCAGTGCAGGTGACATTTGCAGTAAGCACCCAAGTGCCATGCTGACGTGTGGAGCAGGAGATGCTTCTGATTTAACAATGTAGATGTATCCAAAGCTGGTTTTCATCTGAACAAGCCAGCCTGTGACAAAGACAAAGCTTTCTCTACCTTTGCAAGGTAGGTATACTTTAAATCTGTGTGACTCTTATGGATTAAAAAAGCTATCTGCTTCTTAGCATAGAGAAGCCAGAGAAGTGTGCACACATGGGTTTCATTTGATCTCAGACAGTCATTCATTTCGCAGACATACACATCTGCAGGCAGACAGATGAAAGGAACTATGGCTTAAGTGGTATATATCTAACTCTGCTTTTCGATGTGGTATTCTGCTCATGGGAGAAGATACTCTTTCATTCCACAGCTGCCAGTGAATTGTCAGTATAGTAATTGCTAGCTGAAATAATGGCAAATTGACTCATGCAATCATAAAAGATTTAAATAGGATGAAAATTGCTACTGCATAGATTACAAAAGAAAACTCTGAAACCAAGTCTCTGAGACAGAAAGAGAGACAAGTACAGTATGTTGGGGTCTCTCGCTTTAGAACAGCCTATTGTGTCAGAAGGCTTGAATTCAGGGTCTGGCTGTGCCACAGTATACTGCTGTGTGCTCTTCTAGAGATTATTTTATATCCCTGCTCCATGGTAGTATTTCCTTATCTGTATCCTGACAATAACATTACTTTTGTATGTCATGCAGTGGTGGCATCAAGATTAATTAATGAGGGTGTATAAAGTCTTGGAATAACTCATCTGAAAGGTGCTATAGAAGGGCAAAATCTAGTTATCAGTCAAAATGTAAGTGAATGTGTGTATGAGAGAAGGTGCATACCATGTAGAGAACAGCTGAAGGCACATGAGCCTTCAACTCAATTGGGTTTTTTTCAGTTATTTCTTGTAATATCCAGGACATGTCTAACACTCAACATTTTTCCAGATTGTCTAGTTCTTGAAGCATCGCTGTCCTCAAGCTCTTGGAATATCACACAAACATTTCAGTTGAAAAAGTAAGAGCCTTGTTCCTATTGAAGTTTATTGAAGGGTTTATGTGTGTGTGTGGCAAGGGGGGCTGAAGTATGATTTTTTTTTTTTTTATTAAGGAAATACGTTTCACTAAAGATAGTCAAATCCTTTTTCTTGGCCCATTTCCTCCTTCTCTTTTTTAATTGTAGTTATAAAGCTACTTCTTCTGATAACGCTTTTATTTAACAGGACCCTGGCAGCTAGCTGTAGGAGAGTCATTACAATGACTGAATTTATGACAAGTGCCTGAAGAGATAATAAAGGATGTCACAATGACATTAAGATCCTTTTTGTCCTTGTGTAAAAGGCGGGCCCTGGACTTAGGATAAGACCTAGATCAGAGAAGTCAAGACATTCTGTAAAAGTCACTTCGTGAAGCCTTTTTTTTAATTGAGTCAGATGTAATTTAAATGTGGCCCATGGGTGACATGAATACAATTAAACCTGAAAGTAACATCTAATCTGCTGATAGGAATAATGAATACCTATTGTTCTATACACACTGTTTTTCAGAGCCACACTCTTTGTTGAGAGCTTGCAGTAGAAAGCTTTTGGGCCCGGTACATGGCATAACCCTTTATGATATGTGGTTGTTAAAACTTAGAAAGATCTGGCCAACATATGCTGTAGGTAACCATGGTGTTCCCGTTCAGAATGGTCCCCCCCTTAGAAAGAGGCTAATTTATAGGCATCTGGGATGAAACTGGACTCCTGCTTTTTAGGAAGTGGCACATCACTTCCCTGTTCCTAGAGCAACACAGGGAAGGAGCTGTCTTTCTCTAAATCAGAGCATTTCTCAGCACGCATGGAGAGGGCCTGTGCTGCTCGTGGCTCTCTATGCTGATAGATGCATTGCATAGCAAGATAGGGACAAACTAGTCTCCAACAGGCATATTTTTTGGTAAGGGAAGGCAGTAGCAAACTAGCAATACTTGCTAGCACTACACACACACAGAACAGAAGTTCAGGCAAGCTGTGAAAGAATCAGTGATGGTTTTCTGACCTTTTCTGATTAAAAACTACTATCTAGCAACTTATGTGCGGGAGAAAACCACAGCAAAATGAAACCCAAAGTGTTCCATCTGCTTCATGCTTTTTGGAAATTTATGACTCTCAGCACCTCAGCACAGATTGTATTTCATGCTAAATTTGTCCTCAGAATAAGCAGAACAGAACAATAGACTTGGAGGGTAAACGCAGGTTATGTGTTTTACACATTTCATTACATGTTTGCCAGGTTGTTCTCTTGGGTTTTTGCTTTTTTCTGTCACTTGAAATTTCACATTCATGGCTGAATGTAGATTGAGTCCCTATGTCTTACAAGAACTCTGTTTTCTGTGTTGCCAGCTGCTCACGGTGTATACACAAGGGTGAGTGTGTCAGCTGTAAATGGACGCGTGTCTCTCCTGCCACCACCTGCCAGGTGAAGTTTGTTGGGGAGGGCTGGAATCCCCCGTGATGCCTTCTCCTTGTTTTTTTTTACATCTGAACAGCAGTCTGTCCATTCCTTGTCCTGACGTGGAGAAATGCTGATTTTTTTCAGGATAGTTGTAATGCAGCTGCTTCCAAGGGGATCACCACTGCGCAGGAAACAGAGGTTAGTTAGCATTTTATTGTTTGGGTTCTGTGAGTTGGGGGAGAAATTTTTGTAAAATGAGAGGACTTTGAAGGAAGAATACAAATATGGATGGGGAAGCAGTCAGTTGGTTACATAGAAAGGCAATGCAGAACTTGGATTGGTACTATTTTTTCTTAGTGCTTTGTTGGTACTAAAAGGTACCAACAAAGATTTGTGTTTCAGATCCAGGCATTGAGACAGTGAACACTGCAATAGTCATGTGCCTACCTCTAGATGCGGATTTTACAATATTGCTTTAAGTGCCAAAGCCCCTGTATGCTGCTGTATTTAGGCACTCCACAGGAGCCAATGTGCTGAGGGCTGGAACATGTAAGCTGACCAACAACAACAACAAAAAAAACGGAGGAGAACATCTTGGACTTGATCCCTTACCTAGACTTAAATGCATGTTTGAGTTCTGATGTCACAGACAACTCTGTGAAACTAGGTTTCAGAATCTCAGATCTCTTCCTCATTTTATGCAGCCACAGCTTCTCCTAAAACATAGCTGCCAGGGGAGCAGAAGGAGGGGGAGGATGTGCCACCCAGTTTCTGTATAACAAACAAGTGGCTAGAGGATGCATGCAGGAACTGAATTCGCTGGGTGTTAGTAAATCCTTGGTTCACTGTTCCAGAAAAATTTTCCTTGCTTCCAGGCTATAGACAAAACTGGAGATGGAGCTACTCTCCATCCATCCTGCTCAAGCTGGATGACTGGAAAGGAAGGAGTGTCGCTGGTGCCAAAGTACATTCTGAATCTGGTTGTTGAGTTCTCTGTTGAAATCAGACAGACTGTGTGTTAGCGTACAGTGTGTACAATTTGCATCGTAGGCCAGCTCTTTAACCTCAAGGTTATCCCTTCATTCTTTATGGTGCCAAAATGGTTTTATTTTTTCATACAACTGAGCGATCTTGTCATCAGTGGTTGCTTATGACATGCAGGTGTTAGGAAAGAAATGAGTAGTGAAGAGAAATTTGACTGATGAGTAAGTACATAGAGATTTGCTGCCTACACTTTTTTGGTTTCTGCTTTTCTGTGGGTGATTGCACAGTTGGTATAAATAGCAACTGTTCTTATCTCTAAATGTTTCATTAGAACTACCCGAACTTTTACCTGTGAAGACAGGAATTACCTCTTAAATTCAGCTGTTCAGCTGAGGTTTCTTAAACAAAATCACAAAATCCATTTTGTTTTTCACAGAGATTAGTGGGTTTGTAATACTTGTGCTTCTGAGCATTAATATTCTGCATTTGGTCTGCATATAAAGCATTACGGCTGTTGAAAGAACAGAGGAAATTCTTCTTTGCTCTGCTTCCAAGTGCATTAATTTGACATTGGTAAATAGTGGGAATTGCCTGGGAGATGGCTTTCTTCCACATGCCTTATCTTGGAAAGACAGTGATGGACAAGGCAGTGAAAGCACTAGAGGCAGTCCAAAGGCAGATGTTTATTTAGAAATGATTGATCCATTCAGAGGGCTTAAAATTATGAAATCTTGCTCTCCTTTGCCTGTTTATGCTTTAAGAGGAACTTATTGGAGGGCTGAGAAAGAGGATTTGTGTTTTCCCGCAACTCCAGCTGAGCATTCAGATTAATACACTTTTTTTTCAGTGGCAGCCCCAGCCCTCCTCCTGACTCCAGCTGCTGGTTTCCGTGCAGGCACCTTCCCCCTCCCTGCACCAGAGCAGCATTTGGAGTGGTTGCACGCACATGCTTGGCTGTGGAACTGATTTGGCTGGAAATAACCGTTTTCTTTCGTCAGGTTGTTTTTCATCTGAGCCAGTTCCCCGATCCAGTTCTTTCCTTTGACCTCGGGGCCCCGTGCTAGCACTGCAGGAGGGGCTGTGCCAGAGTGGGGACGAGCTCCCCTGGGGTAGCAGAGGCTGAGCTCCTCGGGGTGACAGAGGCTGCTTAAACTGGGCTGCTGCCAGATATCTCGCTGGGACCTGCAGCCAT